TTTTTTTCTTTGGGTTAGGGCAAAAAATATGGATTGGGGATTAGTTTTGTAAGGTGCATAGTAATATATAATAACAAGCTCTACTGGTATTTAGATAATTAACGAGTCACACAATGTTATTCAAGGCACTTGTATTTGGGTACTGTTTTATTTTATTTTTTAAATACATTTGCAATATTTGTTATAATCATACATGCCACCCAGGGCATACAGCGATAGGGTATGCAGTGCAAGTGCCTCATACAGTATCTAAACTCTGCTAAAATTAGTGAGAAGCGATCAGCTGTTGTGGCCAGATGAAGACGGTAAAATGGCACACCAGTGGTGGTCCCCGGCTCAGATAGCAGCAGCCCCACGGGCCTTTGATGTGGGTGTGTGGCTCACGGCTTGCTGTAGGTCACCGCGGGGTTAACTATCGCAACATTGCATGCTGGGGCTGATAACGGTCAGTCTGGTGAAACACGGGCTGGAGGGGGGGGGGGTGATCACCGTTATTAACTGTTCTTAACTGCGCCATGATTATATGTAGCGACGATGCTGAAACCCAACACTAGAAAGTGTCCGCAAAATCAAGCATGAATGACTGTAAGAACTAGCACAATGTCTTAGGCTGCCTGATTTGTTCTCATTCACCGTGTAACAGAACCAACCAGTACTACCAGTCCAAAGCTTTAAAATCGATACTTGCAGTCTCTCTCTCATGTGGGCGGTATTCTATTTCTCTGCTGCTCTGGGCGCGGGCATAAACGAACAGCTCATTTGCATGCTCCTGGGGTATGCTGGGAAAAAATATCCTATCTTTTTAAAGTTACCTCTCCGTGTTGTCATTCCCTCAACTCTAGGCTTTTGTTGAAACCACCTCACCGTTATTTCACCCCCCACCCCCTCAGCCACGTTATGTGGATTTTATTGTTTTTTTTTTTTTTTTTTTTTTTTTTTTTTGCCTTTGCTTTTTGCCCCCCATCCCCGGGACTTGACGAGCTTTTTTGGCCCCGTCCCACGGACTTTGTGTGGCGGGTGACACCTACCCTGGGCCTGCGACAGGTCTCGCTCACACCCAGACCACACTCGTGGCAGCCTAGCCATGAAAACTCGAGCGCCCATGACAGCTTACTGCTGATGCTTCGGCCACTGGTTTGGGGGTCTTGTTTTAAATGGCTCCCTGTTCTTTTTAATGGGTTAAGCCGATTTGATATTTTACAAAATATAAACATTGCTCTAAGGTTCCAAGTTACGGAAGTCTTAATTAAATACAGCAGAATAAATACTTTCGCGTAATCTCGATGTCTATTAATTTTATGTTTACTGCTATTATTATGGTATGGCTTCTGTTGGTGTTAGTCTGAGAATTATGGTAAAACATTTTTGGTATAGATCTATATATTATAATGTGTGATATTATTCAATAATAGGGTAGGGCCTACCCGGTAGGCAAATCGGCAAGTGCCTTCAACTGATACAATACATAGAGAGCACGGCGAAACAAAAACCTCCGTAATGAAACCGTGCAGCCACCATACGGCTACCGTAATGCGACAGCCTGTTTGACAGCACGCTAGTAAACCACAGCAGTAAAGTATATAACAGCCAGTTTTGAAAGTAATCGAAGTCACCTGCGTTGTCGTGGTTAATAAAAAAAACTAAAGCAGGGTGAGAGAAATCAATGGCGACCTCCGTTACGTAACATAAATCACACGGCCAGTTTCTTGAAAACAGGCTTTGAAAAATAGGTCATCAAACTATAGATTGCAGATTTTTTTTTTTCTAAAAACAAACTATCGTGTAAATAATTATTTTTCTTTATCATATTTTATTTATGCGTAAAAAATAAAGTTTTAGTAGGCCTTTAACACGAGGAAAAAAATATTGTGGTGTTGTACTTATATTTTTTGTACGCGCGATTTCTGAATTATTTTTTTTCCTTTAAAATTGCTATTTCTACACGATATTTTATTTATAATGAATATCCAATTTTTTAGACATCTTGAAAATAAATTGAAAAAAAAAAACATCCATTAAGAACGCAAGCATTAACTGCCACTCATTTACTAGATCTAGATATATATCGAAAATATATGGACAAGAAAGTGTTAACCATCGGGTTAGCAATCATGATTCAATTCGGCAACCTTTACCAATTGTGTATTAAAAAAACATCATTCGTCAAGAGCTTTGAAGAATTTTTGTTTCCAATTGTAACCAAGACGAAAACAATGTGTTTATTTAATTAAAACTGTTATAGGGCCTGCTATGTACTTAAGGTCAAGGACGTACAACTAGTCTCGCCCATTAAGAAAATAATGTAGTTTACGCCATTGTTGATGGGGCGTTACCACCACTTTATTATAACAAATTAAAAGGGGGTCAGTAAGGACAATATGCTCATTTTTATTGTTGTTGCTAGATTTCATATTTCATTATCAGTAATGGGTGAAACATTGGCGATAATGAGATAAACTAATCCATTTTAATCAATTCGGATCCCTTAGAATTTTTAAAAATTGTTTTAAATTTTATTTTTAAAATTTCTCCGACTCCTGTGAAAACCGCAGCACAAATAAATTGACTATAAAAACATATTCTTATTTGATCAGAAAGTGAGAGGCTATTGCAATTTTATCAACTATCTTTTACCACAATATTAGTTCAATCTTAGCTCAAAAATCTTAACTCAAGTATCTTAGCTCACTTATTTTTTTAAATTATGAAATCTGTGAATACTTAGTGAAAAAAATGTTTCTATCGAAATTTCAGTTGTTTATTTTTTAATCTTTAACCAGTTGTATTGATAGTATTCAAATATTAGCAAGTAGCAAACACACAACAGCCGGTGTAATACTTGAACCGCGCAGAACATGAGAAGCATTAAAAAAATACCATCATGCTAAAGCTATCACCCCCCCCCCCCCCATCACACACAGTCAAACCGCCTATACAACGCTTGTATTGTACGGGGAGTCAAATTGACCACACTCTACTTCACTCTAAGATAAGTTTTACTTGTATTATACGGATATTCACATTGACCACTCTCTATACTTCACTCTAAGTTAAAGTTTTACTTGTATTATACATATATTCGCATTGATCACTCTCTACTTCACTCTAAGTTAAAGTTTTACTTGTATTATACGGGGATTCACATTGACTTCACTCTCTACTTCACTCTAAGTTAAATTTTTACTTGTATTATACGGGGATTCACATTGACCACTCTCTACTTCACTCTGTTAAAGTTTTACTGATTTCTTAACGTGACTTAGTAAAGGTGTGGTAACGATGAACGGATCAATCAATCATAGATCAAAGAGATGTGACACACACATACACCTGTAGGTTACCTACACATCGACCACACCGATACGAGGTTTACCGAATCGATAGTTGATCCAACGGAAACATGGCCTTGCTGGTAGGATATGATGGCCAGAGGGCAGTCACAACACATGGCCGTCTAATCTCATTTGATGTAAGGGCACACAGGCGCACGAAATAGGGGCCTTGACTTTAATGTACCGCCCGATGGTATACATAGCATTGTTTATCTATTGTGTTATGTTACAAACTAAACTTTTAAATTTGTTTAAAACTAAACTTTTGTATTTCTTAGAAACGTACCTTTTGAATTAGTTAAAAACTAAACTTTTAAATACCTGTAATCTCATTAGAATTTAAATTTTATTTTAGACTACCTCCAATCACACATTTATGTTCGTCTAACACATGTAGTTTCATTAAGCTCTAAAATAATCGACTTATAATTTGCTTATATATGTTTTCAGTGTAATACAGTTAGTCATTTTAGAGTTTAAAGTACAATTAATAGTTAGTTTATTTTCAACAAATGAAAATTTAAAAATTAATCTTTTTAAAATATTCACAAGTATGAATATTTATTTATTGATTTTACTCGGCCTATGGCTAAATATAGAATCTATACAAACTTCAAATGCTTAACATCAGGCTTCACTAAAGTAACATATGCCTATGTAATATCTATCAGTATTTAGTCGTAGAGTCCTGTAATTTACAGGAATGTGTTGTGTGTGTTAATGCCAGAGTCCAATGTATATCTCCCCTTGTTGTAATGGCCTGTCTCATTTAGTATGTGTATATTTTTAAAAAAATCTGTTGTACTGGCCTATGGTACTGGCCAAACTCATACTTTCCTTCTTAAATAATCCTCATTTAGCATGGTTATATTTTTTAAAAAGCTTTGTTCTTTTTGCAATGTTCTACCGTGTTAATTCGTTGTTTTATTATGGTTGCCGATATTTCTTCTTTAAAATATTTAATTGTCATTCTGATTTAAATACACCTTTAACTTGAAAGTATTTATGATAATTAATTTACATCCCGATTTCTCCTTTAATTAATGACTGCAATAACATCTAATTATTTACAACAATTCTGTTTTGTTTTCCTTGATGGCTGGTGGCTGAAAACAAATGTCATGTGTAATGTGCTACAGTTTGTTTTCAAATGTAAATGTACACACGTTTTGCTGTATACAACCATGATAATGCAGTATTGTAACACAATTTTTGCTTTGGGATAAGGGTCACTCCGTGCTAAGTTCTGATAGATATTAATTAGTTTATTTTGATTTCTTGGACATGGTTTGCTTGTATTTATAGTTGTATTTATAGTTGTATTTATAGTATCATTAAGGTTTCGATTAGTGGTTTTGTTTTTAAGCCGTTTGACGCAGTGTTTGCCGGAATCTCCGTTAGGTTCATATAATTTACATTACATCCTAAATTAACTACAGCCTGTGGTTTGTTTTTTATGTACTTGTTCGCCACATCCACACTTTATTGCCGCTATAGTGTCGCTGGCTTAGGTTAAAGGTTATTATAACGTCACAAATACGTCTTAATTAAGATGGTTAGATTTCTTAAGGCACACCGATCTATTAAGACCCCCATATAAATATTTGATTTTTGAAAATTTAAAGACAGACATGTTCTTACAACAAATAAATCAGCCAATCACTTCAGTATAGCATTAATAATTTAATAAATAACCAAGCATAGAAGACAAATATGTTGAACTAATAAGCTAAGGACAATGTTTTAGCACCGCTGAACGAAATGTTCTCATATCTACAACACCAGGGTAAACCAATGGAACATCAACTGGAAGAACGAAGAAATGGACCGATATATCTAGCGTGTCGCACCAGGTTATTGAAAATACAAAATATAAAAACCACGATTTCAGCATTATGTCTATCATACTGGGACACTTTTTAAAAAAAAATGAGAAACAAAAGCAATATTGAATAAGCCCATTATACAAAAGCTAAAAAATCATTAATAATAATTACCCCATACATTTTAAAAGAGATTTTGTTCGAAAAAGTATGATCATACAATTAATCTATACTGTTTTAATTTTATGTACAAAAGTGACTTTTGTCAATTAGAATGATACAACTTGACTGACACAATATTTACCTGTGATTGTAGACAATAAATAGGCGAAGGCTTACAGTCTTGCCAATATCCGATCAGATCACTGTGTAGATCGGTAAACATTGTCCATTTTAACTGACACGAATGTATACAGCCACAGTGATAACTTACAGTTGATAACACGTGCTAGTGTGCATGTCTGTGTTACCGGTATGAAAGGTTCACAACACACAAACATGTGGAGAGTAGCTCCATGGCTGCAGGTACAGACACCGCCACAGAAACTTTCCTCTCACATCTATACATCCCGCTCAAAGTCATGATTGACTTCGATTGTGTTGTTGGCCGTTGTTGATGTCCAAACCACAGTAAAGGATCCCAAAAAAATATTTTTACAATATTAAGTATGAAAATTCTTTGGAAATGACGAGTTTTCTATTGGACCAAGCGCAATGGTTGATTGGTTGTGTTAAAGTGCCTCGAAACTTCGAGGATTTGTGAGCAGCTCGCGGACCAGCCTCCAGACCTGCTTGGCCACGTTGTCCATGGCGGCGGGAGATTTTCCCTTAAAGAGGTCCACCGTGGGCAGGAAGTACTGCGGGCAGCGTCTGTTCTGCAGGCAGGAGATGAGCTGGAGCAGGATGCCGTTGATCCGGTCCCCGATGCACGTGTCATCCCACTCGATCTCCCGCGGGTGCTTCTCGCACTCGTACAGCAGCAGGGTCTTCATGTGGTAGTTGAGGATGGGCTGGCCCGGTATGTCGAGGTGACGGTCTCGTAGGGTTTTCAGTATGCTCAAACAGCGCCGTCGGCACCCGCCGTACAGAAGACGGTCCTCGGCGTAGCGGAACGACATGACCCAGGCGTCTCCCTCCGCGGCGGATTGCTTGTCTTTCATGTAGATGCTCTCCTTAGAGAGGAGGTCGAACCCTTCCGTCTTCACCTCGGCCACCAGGTTCGGGTTAGGCCAGGACACGTGAGGAACCGGCCAGTGGGCGGCGGACCGGCACCAGATGCCGCCGCAGCGAAACGCCGGCGTGATCTGGACGACGTACCGCTCCTTAATCCTGAGCTTGACCTCCGTGGTGTCGGGGATCATCTTGACCACGTCCCTGTAGCTGCACTTGTCCACGGCCTGCGCCACCAGGGTCTGGAAGCGAGAGCGGATCTTCCTGGCGCTGAGGTACCCCGAGGCCGTGATGAACTCCACCCACAGGGACATGGACCGCTTCCTCCCGTCCGACAACTTGAGCACGGCGCACCCAGGGATCGTTCCGTCGTCCACAAAGTTGAAGACGCCCATCTGGTTGAGGTAGAGGACGACCTCGAACTCTGTGGCTGATATGACCTCGACCCCTTCATATCGCATGTTGACCTCTGTCAGTGAACTGTGGAGACATAATTAACAGTTTCAATAGTTGCATACTCTGTAAATTAATCATTAGATCAAAAGTACTGCTTAGTACGCCTGCGTCTTTTTGAAAATATTATAGAAATCGCGCGTGTTAATGAGAAATTAATGTCAGGATTAGAGATGAAAACGAAGACCCGTGTAGGGCTAACTGTTTCGCCTGAAAACGGCAAGCTAGATTGTATTAAAATCCTTCACGCTACAGGCGTCTAACCTGTCCCTCCCTTGTGGTCATTAAAATGTCACGATGTATGTATGTAGGTAGGTTGTGGGTTTTTTTCTTGCTTCAAAACATCTGCCCCTTACAACGTCCCAAGTTGTAACTGGGACTTGTTAGGGAGGGGGGTTAGTGGGACCCGTCATTTGAACGGTTAGGTCCTTATTGAAATATAATGAAGTTTTACTAACTTGACTTGTTAATTTTAAGAAAACAGTTATCTCCAAAAGATGTTCAAGCAAACCAAACACAAAAATACAAACAAATAACGGCTGTATAATGTTTTTGTTAAGCTCAAGAAGTTATCACTTTTATTTTACATATTATGTGACAACAACAGCTATATTAAATTCTCTTTAGGCTGATTTCAGTATGTATGTGATGTTTATTATTACATAAACATCGCGGTTTTAGTAGCAGCTTGAAACTAAAAGTAAATTATATTCTATTTTTGTGCCTAAAAAAATGGGATCATAGTAAAATTGTTGGCTATCAGTATTTAGTGTACCAGAGTGAATAAAGATATTGAATACATTATTAGTAAAATCTTCCTTATAATTTGTAACTGTTATTTTATTGATTTAATAGTAATGAAATTGTAAATATGTCAGCTTTTTTTGCGGTAGATATATGTTGTTGCCTACTGTTTGTGTGATGATTTTATGTCAGCTACTCAAGTATTTGTTACTTTGTGTCTCTAACCTTAGTTCTAATGTGTGATTGCATGTCAGATTCTCAATTTGTAAAATAATTCTTTATTAGTGACCAAACTGCTTCTATATGAAGTTGTGTACTAGTTACTTAACTGACAATGTATGTACTGTTAGCCGTTGATATGTATGTATGCTACTTACCTGTATTTTCGTTAGGTAACTAAGTTGGTAATTTAACTGCTACTAATTAGGCCGTAAGATTGGAAAAGATAAGATCTAACAGGGACTGAGGCTGTGTCAGGTACATAACAACTGCTATATGTGACTGTATCTGTAATCTAACAGCTATTATATGCGAATGTATTTGTAATTTTAATTACTGTATGTGACTGTGTGTCAGTAACATGACAAGTGCTATATATGACTGTTTCTGTAATGTAACTACAGCTACATATAACTTTGGTTTCTGTAAACCTTACATCTAACATATTTGACTATGTCCTTAACATAACCGCTCTACTATGTAAATAAAACAAAGCCTATGGAAGTATAGGTGAGTGTGGGTTACCTGATGAACCTCGGCTCCTGCACCTCGACCTCCTTGAGGACATCCTGCACCACCTTACAGACCTCCCGGGTCGTCTTGTTGATGTTGGCCTTCCTCGAGTGGACCCGCTCGTTGTAGTACTTGTTGATCTGGAACAGGAGCTTGGACTGGGCGGACATCATGTCGGGGGACGTCCCCTCCAGCAGCATGTTGTTGAGGTAGGGGCTGGGCTCGAGTTTATCGGGGCTGCTGTACTCACACTTCATCAATGCACGCTCGTCGTGTCAACTCTCCTGGCACCGTTAAATGTGTTGGGGTTGGTATTGCTGTGGAGCGGGTTGATGGAAACTGTGTGTTACTCAATGCGGGGCATTGTTTTCGTTAGGTTGATGTGAGGTTTTGTTGTGACAGCGCAGGTGACGGCGGTCACTAGTATCCGTTGTTCGCGCCTGGTGTGTTTACGTTTAGAATACGACCAGTGGATGTCAGCCAAACACGGAATGATGCAACAACGACTGGAAGCACTTGAGTGGGATGTGTTGAATACAATGGCGCTAGCACTTTGAAAACAAAAAGACGATTATTATGAAATATTACTGAATTTCCTGTTGGTTTAGATTTCTCCTTAGCAAAGTGAAATTGGAATGAACTTTGACCCTGACTTTAAAACCAATCCACCTGTGTGACCTGGGGAGGTCTTGTTCGAGATTTCCCCTCCCAGCGGCCAACCTCGAGTTGATGACAAGACCAACTAGTCTGGTTAAGCCAGGTCTAATACACGGTCTAGGTGTCCCGGTGGTTCGCTGTCAACCAGTTGTACACTAACCCACGGGCGGTAGCCTCGAAACCCGTGGTTCAAATCCTCTTGAAATCACAACACTACTTGTGAAGGTACCCTACTAAAGCAATGTTTGATACTCTTATAACACACGGTGTGTTGAAGATGTGTAGTAGTTGTGAGGTATGAACGTCTAATCCAGTTGAAGATGAAATGTGTAGTGATTTAGTGAGTGTCTAATCCTGTAAACGGTGCGGTAGTTAAATCCACGAGTTGCAACCGCTGACTGCCGGATGTGCCTTGTCCAGTTGATCAGCGACTGGCCATCCCCCTGCAGGAAACAGTTCGATATTATGATAATCCGTCTGCTGGCACCGGGGCCTCCACGGCCTCAACACAAATCGCCAAGTGTCTTCTCCACACCCTCGGCAAGCCAACAGCTCTGTCACTCACCTCAGCGGTGCGCGCTAAGGGGCGGGGCTTTCCTTCGTTCCCACGTCACATTTCGCCAGCCAATCATCAGCGTCCGTGGAGCGGCTCGGCGCATGAGCGCGGACAATGCGTGCTAGCCCGGAGGGAAATTGAATATAAATTACTGCCACATGCTTGGCTTGGCTCCACCTCTGCATACCGCAGACATAATAAGTCGTATCTCTTAAGTCAACATTTTCACATTTGAGTAAACCTAGACTCTTGTCGTGCTGAAAAAAAAAAAAAAATACCCGTAGCGCCACTAGGGGAGGTTGAGAAAAAAATAGTCGCGCTTGTTATTGCGTACCTTGGTTGAACCGCAGGATACGACACGGTTGTTTTTTTTTATAAAGGTAAAGTGTACTAGATCTAGTTAGATCTACTACTGCGCTTCATCCAATGTTAAATACTACCATTGTAAGGAAGTCTATAAAGCAAGCTTTCGAAATATTTATATCAACAACTTTTCCGTTACGGTTGTAGATATACTGTTTTGAGCAACAAATGAGTAATTCCATAATCACATACTGTTACCTGTTTTTCTAACTTTATTATGCTTTTTAAAAATAAACTTTAATATAGCGTAACTTTTAATATCAGCATATACAATGACAAAACTAAAGGAAGAACTTTATATACAAAAAGCCCAACAAAATACGATATGAAAAATTTAAAATTAATAATTTTACAGATGTCGATTCTGTTTGATGATTTGTTCCCGAGCTTTTCTTGTATTTTGATAAAAGGATCCCCACCCCCAGAAGTTGTATCAAAAACTAAATACACCTCAATATATACACATCTGTGAGTATTGGTATTACTGTGTCCGACACAAGACCCTTTCGTAAATAGGGCTAGACTGTTTAGGCTATTGTAGGACTTAGGCTAGGGATAGATAAGATATTAGCAAATCATATGCGTATATACAAGTAATCTTACAACCAAGAGGATTCCATTACTGTGGCATTATTGGACACTGGTAAAAGACATACAACAAAATCTGATATTTTAATCCTTTAATTGGTGAAAAATCTGGCATTGCTTTACAAGGTCACTCAGAGAGGTATTGTTTATGTGTGTGAAGTCAGCGTGGTTGGGCCAGTAAAGCTCGTGGTTGTTAAACCGAAAAGTCCCGAGTTCTCTGAACCAACACCCTTGCCAGGTCTAGCACAGCTGCCCTAATCCACCCCCGAACCTCCCCTTTGGGACACATCTCACTGAACCACACATTGGACCAACGTTCCCTACACTCAGCCGCCCTAACAATAAAACAGCTATCAAACTCAATTCTCTGAACCTTCGCCACAAGAGTTTTTTTTTTTGTCCAGAAATAATGTATTAAGAAAATACATAGAATTACTTTAACCAGTGGTTTCTGCCCCGCCTTCCCCCCCCCCCCCCCGCCCCCCTTTCCGGAAATATTAGTGTCCACCCCTTCCCCGGGAGAAAAAAATGTCTGAAAGAAACACTGCCCCCCGACCCACCCTCTGACCCACCTCTCTAGCCCACCCCTCTGACGCACACCTCTGACCCACCTCTCTAGCCCACCTCTCTGACCCTCCTCTCTAACCCACCCCTCTGACCCACCTCTCTGACCCTCCTCTCTAACCCACCCCTCTGACCCACACCTCTGACCCCTCTAGCCCGCCCCTCTGACCTACACCTCTGACCCTCCTCTCTAACCCACCCCTCTGACCCACCTCTCTGACCCACCTCTCTAGCCCACCTCTCTGACCCTCCTCTCTAACCCACCCCTCTGACCCACACCTCTGACCCACCCCTCTAGCCCACCCCTCTGACCCACACCTCTGACCCCTCTAGCCCGCCCCTCTGACCTACACCTCTGACCCTCCTCTCTAACCCACCCCTCTGACCCACCTCTCTGACCCTCCTCTCTAACCCACCCCTCTGACCCACACCTCTGACCCCTCTAGCCCGCCCCTCTGACCTACACCTCTAGCCCGCCCCTCTGACCCACCTCTCTGACCCTCCTCTCTAACCCACCCCTCTGACCCACACCTCTGACCCACCCCTCTAGCCCACCCCTCTGACCCACCTCCCGGCCGGTAGAAAGTGACATGACGTTACCCTGACGTGTACAGCACGTGTGACGGACTGGCGAGAGCTACCTCCGGACAGTGGTTAATGGTGGCACGTCATCAGGCGGTGACAACTGCCAAGAGCCGCGCATGGTGACAGCCAGAGGATTGTGTTCCACTGCCGTTAACAGACGCATATTAACGAGCGCAGGTCGTGGGCAGCAGCGCTATCCTCCCGACCTCAGAGTTCATTTACTCGGACACTCCGTTTGTCAATGCAATGTCTTGACGCAGATGGCCGGACTTGTGTGGTATCCTGAATCTCTTGACTTTGCATTCGCTCCCCCCCCCCTCTTTTTTCAAGCATTCTTCTTCAATTAATTACTAATTAATGAACAGTAGCGCGATCGGGTCTTTTGTGGTTTCTTGATGACCTGGTAGCGTGTTAATTATTGTTTTGTTATGGCGTCTTACATAATTCTATTTTTTTCCTCTAGGTTTTATCAGAAAACAATTGGAAAAAATTAAATTTGATTATTTTAAAATTGTTTTAGAGATAGTTGAAATCCATGCCAACATGGGAAGCTCTCTTCCATCCCCCCCCCCCCCCCCCCCAGAGAATAGAAAGCAAACTTGCGCTATATAGTTGTGGGCGTCGTCCATAAATGTCGTCACTCATTTTTTACAGAACCTCCACCTCCTCATGTTCACAAAATGTCAGCACCCCTCCCCCATCCTAAAATGACGTAACACTTTGGTCTTACCCGCTCCTTATACTGTAATTCTCTTTTTAAAGTAGAAATTCCTCGCTGAAATATTACGTTTGGCACGATTAGGAATATTAACAAAATAACCGTGTAAAAACCCCATCTCCTCGTCACACATCGTCACAAACGTCTTATACCCCCTCTTCCTGGAGTGTGACGCCCCTTATGTGTGAGTTGTTGCATCACTTTATTTTCTAGAAATGTTATTTGATTCCCTCATTAATTGTAATTGTAGGCCTACAATAGCATTCTGTAATTGATTGTGAACACCGCGTCAGATCAGCAATATCCGTGTATCAATCTTGTGGGGGGGAAGCACTTGATTATGTGTGGCGTCAGCGAGCCCCCTCCCATCAGGCAGTAATCAACACAAACGAGCAGGGTGTAGTCCACTCCATCCTCGTCAGCGCCTCCTCTAGTTTACCACACACTCGAGCCGAGCACGGGGCCGGTGCTGCTCGAGTGCCGCTACAAGCCGGGCCAGAAGAGAACCCAAATGAGGTTACTCCACCGGCTTCTCTCCCCTTAGACAGGGGGTACTTGTGGCGGTGACGGTTCTCAAGTAGTTGCCATTATTTACGGTGATTAAAGAGTTCCGCTAGGCCAGTGGTTCCCAGACATGGGGACTCGGTGTAGTAATAGGATTCATATTTTAGATCAAAACTAGTTTGTGTAGCAGTCTGGGACTTGGAATGGCAGTAGGGCTTATACAATTAACAAAATCATTAAAATAGTGTGTGTTTTTAATGAGTCTGTATGCTGTATAGTGTAAATAAGGGGACCATCATTTAGTAAAATACGCCCGGATTTGAACTCAAACGGCAAAATAGAAATAGAGAAGATAAGTATATGAATGTGGCGTTAGGCGCTGAATCGATTTCGGTTCCCAGAAAAATGCGCAATTGGAAAACTGCGCAACGGAAGACTGCGCAGAGTAATGCGCAAATACAAACTAATTATACTATTACACTTTAATTTTTGACCTATTTCGAGGAAATATGTTTCATATGCTACCTTGTTCATGTATTCACTCTTTGTGTCGATTTAAGAAAACAAAAATTCCCTTGCGCAGTTATCCGTTGTGCATCATTCCGGTCACCATTGATTTCATTGCTCGTCACGCAGTTTGCTGCATATAGCTTTTAAATATATCTAGACCTAGGTGTTGTTGAGTCGAAATAAAGTGTGCTGTTTTACAACCTCATGACCAACTCAAGAGCTGAAAATGTTCCTGTTAAATAATTTTTTTCTAAAAAATTAGGCTTTTGCATACTTTGTTATACAATAAAAATATTGTAATAACTAAAGTCATTAGTTGTCTTAAGAACATCAGTTTCAGCTGATGTAACCATCATTGCTAATGCCCAGATGCAGCTCTGTTTGGCCAATACCAAGTGATCGTGTCCTGTATTTGACCTGCTATTGTCTCTCAAGCTGAGGGCAGGAACCTACCTCTTGAAACTCTAAACCCTTATAATTCCGTCCCTTATCGGTACGGGCTATCGTTGTTAATTACCCGAATCGTGCCAGGATGGGTTTGAAAGAAAGCATTCACAACAGCAGGGCCGTGCCCTATCTTAACCGCTGACCAGTGCCGACAGAGAGAATGGCATCGTAACGGCTATTAAAGTTGGACCCGGGCCCCAGCCCTGCCAATTAAGCGCCGCTGTTGGCCTGCCCTCCCACCTGATCGCCGTAAGTGGAGATAGGTAGCTAGTGATGGGGGATTGTAGGTAGCTAGTAATGGGGGATTGTAGGTAGCTAGTAATGGGGGATTGTAGGTAGAGGTGCTCATCTGGGTGGGGGTTGTAGAAGTTTGGTTTAATAGGTGATTGTATGGAGACGGGCTCAAGAGATCGGGTTGTACCAGCTAGTTTTCATGGGTGATTGTTGGCAGAGGAACACATCTGGGTTTAGTCGAGTGGAGGGACATAATTATAATACAAATAATAATTTGATAACTTCGTATCCTGTTAATTCATCAACTAATAAATTTGTTATTGATGTCCTAAAATTTTCTTTCAAAACTCTTTTCAAAAGATTTAGATAAGAAATCTAAGCTTAGGCCAATGACTGATGTGTTTTACGATGTAGTTGGTGAATTATGAATAACCGACTATTGAATAGGAATTTAAAAAAAAAAAAAAAAAAAAAAAAAACTTTTTTTCCTACAAG